TCACCAGTATTTTCCACGATATTTAAACAGGACATGTCTTCGACGCTCTTAAATATCGAAGCGGATAAAAACACTTCAAAATATTTCTTGGAGTACATATACACTAGTGAAATCCAGCAAATGGATGAAAAAGTAGCTCTAAATCTGTTAATAATAGCTGACAAGTATCAAGTACTGCCATTGGTTGAGAAATGTTCGAAATTTCTAAAGTCAGTTTTATCCTTGGCAAATGTGTGCAAAATATTATCAATCGCTGATAAAGGAAATCATGAATACTTAAAATATTCAGCAGTTGACTTCATCGTCGAAAATTCGGTGGAATTGTTATCTTCCCCGGAATGGTTGCAATTAATAAAAATAAACGAGACTTTGGCGACTGTTATACTTTTCAGAGTATCAAATAACCTTGCCAAGAACAAGAAAGGTAAGTCAAAGTAATCTTTTATATCCTCAGCAGTCCATTAAATCACAACAAAATAATGACGGAATAAGGTAAATAAGAATGACCAGCTTTGACTCAAAATACCATAATAGCTTGATGGAATAGAATGAAATTCCACGTTCAATCAATCAAGTTATAACAGGTGAAAAAGGAGTGTCCAAACTTTTCTCCCCAAGGACCACACCTGCTTTTCCTATAAATCCCAAGAACCAATGAGATCTAGCCGACCGAGGTATTATTTAAGAGCTAATTTGTACGCACAACTTAAGAATATTTTTTCTTTTAAATTGCCTCTATGAGTTACAAGTAACAAGTGGTTATGGAAGCTGTAATTGTACACAAACTTAGCTAAACATATGACTGATAAACTATAAGACGATTTTATCTGATTTATAAACTCCCATTAATTTTTTTCGACAAAATTTAGTTTTGTATCAGTCCTAACAAATGTTTCAATTATACTTACAAACATCGAAACGATTAGTTAGTAAATTAAGAGTAAATTACCCACACATTTCACTAATGAAACTTAGGTTGCTTAAAATATTTTGAGTTTTATTTTTCAAAGATTTGAGCCAACTTAAAGATACATTACCATTATTAGAAATTTCATAACAAGATGATTGTTTCTTAATGATTACTTAAGGTCAACGAAAATAACAATCTGTAAAATTATTTTCAAAAAAACAGCAAATAGAAAAATTTAATGAATGATAAGTTCTTGGTGGCTTTTTTGCCCTGTAGGTATCTCTCCTGTTAACAATATATAAACATAAACAACAACACAAAAACCAATTTTAAAAGCCATGTAATCAAAGATAACTGAAAAAATAAAATGAATATCTGAATTTCCTATGAATTAATAATAATAGATATTCTATGTGACTATGTTTTTATACTTATGATATTTATTTGTTGATATTTATTTATGATATTTATTGTTCAAAACGTTTGAATATTTTATAAATCATTTGAATTCTTGGGCCTTTACTTTTCTAAATAAAATAAAATAGCGATGGACTGTAAAAATAATTGCATTTTCTTTCAATACATTTGCGAAAAAAATATATAATTATGCTGCTTTCCTTTGTAAAATTTTATCAACCACTGTTCGGTGTGTATATATTATCCATTCAAATTTTAGCATTGATTAATTTAATTTATTACCACATATACAAAAAAAATCTGAATTATTTATTAAAATATGCAATTCTAAAATTTACAAAAATTCTTTTGTTATACTATCCAATAACTTACCACTTAATATATAAAGTGAGATGTAATGAGTTTGGTGAAAAGAATTTCAGAAAGTCTGTCAACTAAACCTTTGCTTCAAATTAACTTCGTATCGGTAGCTCATATGCTCTTTAAACAATAATGAAACATTGTTTTACTAAGCTCACACGCATTTAAGCCAATTCAAGTTATTTTTGCATTCAAAAACACCGATTTTACCTCACGTTTGGAAATCGTCAGACCATTTACCATTGATCACAAAAAGATGTAAGTTATTAGTTGTCTTGCTCGCTGCTAAACATTCCACACAAACAAATATTCATTGGCATGCATACTTTAATTGAATGATAATAATTGTTAATGTTCTCTTAAGATAATTTACACATGTTTATCGATAAAATTAAATAAATTAGGTTCTACTTTTTTCCGCATCTGTTCTATTAAGCCTAATTCGAATTCGCTTTGGTGTTCTCTTTGCTTGATGTGCATGTTTGAATTACAAAGTTTTTTCATCGAGAATTGTTCAATTTGTCTATTCTAAATTTATTGTTCTTATTATAAATTTTATCGTAGAAATAACGATTTTCGTTCATCATAACTTGTTAAAATTTTTTGTGTCATTGAACACGAAAAATGGTGGCAATATAATGAAGCACTCCTGGTAAAGAAGGGATCCCCATTTTTGTGGTTAATATTCAATTATTTTTTTTTCATAGTACAGAAAGTATTGCTCTTTATTGAAAAACCATGATAGCCGCCAACATCATTTGGTTTGGATGTTCATTTTAACGTTACATTTTGTTTTCTTGCGCAAAAACTATAGAACTTATAAATTTGAAAACACGAAAGTGCGTTGAAATATCCACAGGAATTGGAAAAATAAACATTAATTTATTAGTTCAAAAACTAGTAACTGTTAAAATTGTGGGGAAAAAAACCCAGTATGGACCGATCTACAGGACACAGGAATGAACTTCAGAGTTTAATTTTGTTGCCACATTTATTTTTAAACTTAACATGGAGTTTGTTTTCAAATTCTAATTTGCTTGAAAATTATATAAATTTTAAGTGCTTTGTTGCGAATTTCGTTTTTTTTCCTTTAAATTTTGTTTGCATTTTGCTTTGCTGCACAAAATTTATAAGGCGTAGAAACTTGAAATTAAGAAGGTATGTTTAGAAAAGTACATTAGATATTACGGGATAGAAAAATTTAAGATTCGATAACTAGTTCGAGAATTAATAACTTTTTAACTTTTTGGAAAAAAATACCGTTTAGTCAATCTGTAGTCCTCTGAAATATAAAGACAGAGCTGAAATTTACCGTGATGAAAGTGAAATTTTTTTGCTTGAGAACTTAGCGCAAATTTTGTTTCAAAATTTGTTTAAAAATAACAAGTTAAAAACTTATTTACAAGTTAAAAACTTTTTTAAAAACTATAGCAAATTCAAGTTCTTTCTCGTGTTTTTTTTCAGCTTTTTAACTTTATTGACTGTAGATACTCTCAAGAGATCTTTATTTCTTTTTTATATATAAAATTTTTATAAACTTTCCTTGGAGTAGATGTCAATTAAAAGTAGCAAAAGAGATAAAGAGAAAGAAATTATGCATATAAACCTTAATGTTTATAGTCAAATGTTTAAAAAAAATCGAGCAAAAAGTTATATTTAATGTTCCAAATTGATTTTATTCTAGACCTGTGTTTAAATACTAACGTCTAATACTTAAATTCTGAACGATAAGATTTGCCGAGGTTGTTTTTATTTCGGGTAGAAGATTTTGCTTGTATTAATTTCAACTTTTTTTTGTTTACATAATCTTCCGACATCAAAAATTCATTTTCATATGGCAGATAGATCACATTTCACTATGCATCGAAACATTAGTTTGTTATCTGAAAGTACAATGTTTAAATTCCCTAAGAACCCATCTCTTTCATTTCAATGTTAAATAGCAAAATTAAATTGCAAAAACTGAGGCCGGAATAGTGTGGTTGATAGAGCACTGGGACCGTGTTCAAGGGGTCACGGGTTCGATCCCCACCGGTGGAAGACTCCCCGTGTAGTAAATGGTGATTGATGCACGTTAAATCTGTCGAGTCCCAAAGTACTGCATGCTCCCATAACAAATAATACCTCAGGGGATACTGATCTAGGAGTCTCCTTGTTTTCTGGATTGGTTCAACATCGCAAGGCTATGGAATTGAACATTAGTAATCGTAAAGCCAAAAACTGGGTCCGCTGTTCAACAACGGAAATAAAATTAAATAGGAAAGATTAGAGAAACAGAAATAGTCATGTTCTGCCATGACGTCAGAGGAAGACAGCAAAACTTCCTCTAGAAGAGATGGTAAATATAAATTGTCATAAGTGTCTTCATCTTGTTAAATTACTTCTTATTTATTTCTTTTTGAGACATACATTCTGTATTATTTCGATTAATGTTTTAAGTTGAAAATTATTATCTTCCTAATAATCATCCAATTCATTACATGATTAACATATTAACAAAATATTTGCTTACACTAATCTGCAATAATTATATGATTTGATAACGTGCTCGAGTAGTCCTTTTACTCCCTGGCAACTGTTGAGATATTGAGAATTATATAAATACATTCTGACTAAGAGCTGAAACACTTGCTATGAACTATTGCATATGAATGAAAACATTAACTATGGCATTGCATGTTCGTCATAACTATATGGATGTTTATTTGTTCTTTGTTTTATTTAATTGATTATTGTTGAAAATGTTTCAAAGAATATGCTTGTTGTTGCTCATTTGCGCCGCACTAGAGCTGCACAATGGGCTATTGGCAACGGTCTGGGAAGCATCCCTGGGGATGATATGCCAATTTTGATCCTCTGCAGAGGGGATGGCACCCCCGCTTCAGTAGCCCGACGACCTGCACACGAAGTCGAGCACTTTAGAGTAGAACAGTTTAACGAGGACCAATACCGCACACCCTCGGTCCCTACGCAGACTGATCCAAGTGGTCACCCACCCGCACACTGACCGCAACCAGTGATGCTTGACTTCGGTGATCTGNACAGCAAACAAGACGATTACAATTCTTGTTCGATTAAACAATTTTTTAATTGTTATGTATCAATAATTACTTAATTATTTGTTTGTCCATAAAAATATGTTTAACAAATAATTTTATAACAAAATTTTTCTGTATCTCTTTAATTGTTTTTTAAAAAAAGCCAGGGGGGTGCAAGTGCACCCCCTTGCACCCCGCTGCCGGCTCCCTTGATTCTGGCTATGGCTATTCGTGTGACTATTGGGTAACATTAAAAAAAATCTTTTCATTTTCAGAGGAATCAATGCCTGGAAGTTCGAAAGAAGTTAGTTTGCCACCTGTTATTCGACAGCAGAATAATCTTGATGCTGGAAGTTCGAAGTAAGTTCAAGAATCATGGTGAGGTGTTTAAAAAAATCGTGCAATACTGGTACCACATTTTAAAAACCATCTTGCGTCACTCTCACACGATACTTATAGAAAAGGTTTCTTTCAATTTAGAATGATTTAATATTTTGATTTATGAATTATAAAAGTTTTGTTTCGCAAAAATCTTTAAAAAAATATGTTACATCTTACTCTATTTTACTCGTCCCTTTGTTAAAGTTTGAGCCTAATTACAGGGAAATAATCGAAGGATTGATTATAAATTGGAGTGTTTATAAATTGTGTAAAAATAGAATTATCTGCATAATCGCAGTAAGTCCAAATAACGTTTATTTTTCTGAAAAATATTTTAACATATCATTTATTAGTTTTCGTGATTTTTAAAAAAATCAATTTTCTTCATTTCTAAGAAACCTTTTATATACTTATCCCTCCCTGACTATCCAATTCATTAGATTCTAAACTAACTGTTTTTCACGGTCAAGTTTTTTCGAAACTAAGATAGAAAGAATGTTTAGATTCCGATCGAATTTCATTTCACTTGAACAAAATTTAATAACAGCTATTTTGTCGAATACAGATATAAGACAACATTGTAAAAATCTGTTCTCTATTACTTGAAAAATTGTTATTATCAAGAAAGAAATTGAAAAGTGCATTCTTTTTTTCAAATTTAGCATTTTTTTTCCTATTTTAGTTTTCCAGATCTTTTACAGCCTGTCCGCATAATTTTTTTTAAAAACAAAGTGCAGCATATTAATCGCATAATTTTTAAATATTTCTGTCTAACTAATAGGGACCTAATAAGAATTTTAAAAAAATTCTTAGCAATAACCATCGGTAATTTATGTATAAAACTTGCTGGCTGTAGGTTTTCGTCATCACACTTCACACGTTATTGTCATTTACTTATATAACTTATACCTTTATTGATAAAAATATTTATTTAAGAGAAATTTTTTTAACTAGATTATAAATTTTTTTTAAAATATGCATTCTAGAGCATTACTAGAAGAAGCGATTTTTAAAGACCATGGTAAAAATTTAACAATGGCGTGTTAGAATAATAAAAGCTTCTAACAGTTAATAAAAATAAAATGTTTCGAGTACTGAACATGTTCCTCCTCCGAACAAAATACGTCACCAAAATATGGTGGGACATTTTATTAACGAATAAAAATAAAATCTGAAAGGCAGCATGAGGATTTTATTTTATCATGTCTTACTTTGCAACCTTTAATATCTGCTTAACATACGTTTATATTGTATGGCAATATCTGTACTGTATTGTTAAGGTAATATCCGATTAACTTCCGTTTATATTTCATTAATAGCAATGTTTCTAGTTCAACGATCTCAGTTCTGATTGGTTCTACTTTAAATATACCTCTCTAGTCTAAGCATGCAATTGGTCCCCATGATTTATGCTCATTTTTATTATTTTTCTTGTATTCCTTGCCAACTTAGTGGACTCCAAATAACACAGTAACCAGATCGCAACAATCACAGATATTCATTTGACGACATTCACAATGACATCACACAGGAATGAAGCTGCGACCTATAAACGTCTTAACTTGGAGACACAGTAACTCTCTGGAGAAATGAATATGTCACAGCTCCGTCACATCGTGACTCTCTCGAGACCAGTATATGTCATAGCTTCGCAGCCTTGTCACTCAATTAAGTTAATTAACTCTAGAATTGAATTTTCGAAATTTTAACTGAATTAATTTTGCTTTAGTTTTTTTACATATTTTCAGGCCATAATTACAACATATTTGATTGTACTCAACTATATTCTTTGATACGATACGCTTAAATTTTCTAAGTTCTATTTAAAACGCATTGATTTAAAAATGTGCTAATTCAATGCTATAAGAATTAATATTATCTTACATTAACCATGCAATGTTCACGTATTAAATATAAATTTGATATTTCTCTTTATCAAATTCAAATCTTTCCTGACATCTTAAGTTTTATGTAGTTTATTTACTTATTTTCTATTTGATATAGAAGAAAATTTGATTATACAATGCATAACAATTAATAATAAAAATAATAACAATTGATCTATGCAATAATTCTGAATTAATATTATTATCAATGAAAATAATTGTTTCAATAAATAAAATAAGTATTCAAAATATATTAAGTAACAAAGTATTGAAAAAATTAATTATTTTTATTCTGAGGAATATTCTCAAAATTATCAATTTATATTAAAATACTTTCTAACTTGATTCGTATATAAATGCTGAATCAATAGTTGCATGCATGAATGAATGTTATATTTTAAATAAATTCATCCACCCAAAAAAAAACACATTGAAAATATAAATTGAAAAAGTTAAATAAATGGTGTTGAAATTTTTTGACTTGGATAATTGGCAATGTCTTCAAAATTCTTCGGATCATAAGTATAATAATGATTTATTCGTAAAAAAAATATATGATTTTTCTTTCCTTTATTTTCAGCTCGACGATGCCTGAACCAGAAGGAAGACAGATGATTACACCATGAAAAATTATATATCTTTACTTCTAAGTATATATTCCTGCATTATGTTAGTCCTGTAATTACTCTAATAAAGTATTTTTTAAACAAAATACAAATAATAGGATTAAAAACCTGCATTTCATCTTCGTTTATTCTATCTTTCTATCAACTGGCCAAAACCATTCAAAATTTGAAAAGAGGTATAACGAATAATTTCGTCGATTCACTCTACGTTTTTAACTTACGAAAAGGAAGTAGGAATCTCGAAAATTTCTATTAAAACAAATTTAAGCTTTAATTGAAGAGCATGTTTAGAAACTGTGGATAGGGTGCAAATTAGCCGTCTCATCTGCATTTACGTTAAAATATGCCCGATTAAAATATCAGTTAATTCGTGGTATAACGGTTTGCTGTCCACCTTCTACTAGAGAGGTTCCGATTTCAAATCCCAGCTAAAAATACTTTAGGCAGGACAAGTGAAAACGAATTGAAAGCAATAAGAAAGACATAGAAAGAAGCAAAATATCTGACCACAAATAGAGTGAGATAAAAAGCTATGATAGAGGCCCTATTCTCCGATTCGGAGTGAAGAAGAATAAGTATATGTATGCATTTTTCAATGATAAATATATGATTGGAGGTTATTGAAAAGAAGACAGCAGTATGATTTTTATTTATTTCCATTTATAAAGTTTTGTAAACATAAAAAATTACAAAAGAATAAATTCAAGAGCACATTACAATGTTATTACACAACATGCATGAATTTCAATGTATTTAATTATTACATAAAATTTTTTTTAATCATCTATGATTAAAATTACAAACTTGCTATTCATAAAATTTCTGAAAACATCAATAAACACACATCGGTACATCTCGAATTATGCACAAATTTCGTATGTTCTTTTGATATGGATTAGTAAAGCGTTAATGACAAACGCCTGTATGCATTCTATAAAACTACCACATGTTTCTTAAATTTATTCAAACGTACTGAAATTTTAAAAACAGATGGCAGTATAATTTTGAAGTACTAGAATAATTTATCATGGAAATTTTTAAAATTGATAAAATTGGTGGTAAGTACACAAAGAAGTAATTTTTAAGCCTAAGAGAGGGTTAAACGAACAAAAATTACAAATGTTCTCACTTGATTTCTTTTTCATAGATTGCACAAAATTATGCACCTGTTACGTAAATAAAAATTGATATTTTTAAGCTTTAAGTAAACTATATAAGCAAATGTGTATTTGCATCCAGTCAACATGCATTTACATATTTATTTTTACCACAAATGTGTGCTCAGAAAAAAAAAACATTTTATTTGAGTAACTTACTGAACTCGTAACCCTCGTTAAAGGTTGATTTATTCCAGTAGTTATATATTTTTAAATTTATTATGTTATATTTTTAACGAAAAAAACAACGCACTTTTTGGTAATCTATTATATATAATTCTCTTACGTGGCTCCCAAATTTTGGCTGTATTTCTTTCCAGCCGGTGGCAACGTTTGCCTTGTTTTGAAAACACCAAAGCATTCTGCCTTTTAATGATGTGTTTCTGATCTAATATATATAATTCTCTTACGTGGCTCCCAAATTTTGNATCTTTCCCAAAATATGTGTATACACATACAATAGCGGTGGACACCGATTAATATTCAACTGAAAAAAGACGAAATCGCAATCGAAATATGATGAACATTATTGAATAAGGCGGGATTAAAAGGCAGCAAAGACATAATGTATTGCCTGAGGAATAAATAAGAAGTTAAAACGCTATTATTAGAAACTACCTCAAGTTCCATCCCAAAATCAAAGCTGTTTTGATGTCTTTGATTTTGCTTCCTTAAAAAAGATTCATCAGTCTTATTAAATTAATCGCTTTAAGCAAATCGATTCGGATATTTTTTCGATTTCAAATTTCACTTAACTATGAAAAAATATACATATTAAAGGCGGCAACAAAAGGTGCAACAAAATTTGTTAAAGCATGAATCTCTACTTTGGGGCAATATTTCTCGATGCATAATAAAAAAAATTTCTAAATCTCTTACTTGATGATTTTATTTTCAATAGCAACTAAACAAATTTTTAAACGTATATTAGCTTAGTTTAAATACTTAAAATGAAAAAAATTACTATTAACTCACAAAAGAAAAAAATTTTAAAAAGAAAAATGGTTTCACAAATAGGCATCGTTACAATAAAAGATCAAATTAAACGAATTTGCATTGAGTTCTGATAGCAGCGGATGAGGCGGATAAAATGTATGAGGCAAGCTTAATATTTCCTCCAATCCATTGTCACCAGGTTGTTGTTGGTGAAATTTGAGCAGCGTTTACTTTAATAAAGTTCAATGCAGATATTATTTTAAGCATTAGTAATTAACAGAATCGGCGATCATGATTATTTTACATACGTTTTCCACCGACAAAGCCGATTTCAAGCACAAAGCACACTCACTCACAAAAGAAGATAATCGTCTGCAACTAGAATTAGCTTGCTAGCTATTTCGTAATCCATTTTAGCCGCATTTTTCGTACATAAATATTTAAAAAAGGTTTTTAAAGTATTCCCATCCATTTCTGCTGTATCCACTTTACCAGTTTTGTTTCCCAGCATGTTTTGATCGAACATGGTGGCGAACACTGGTGATCGAACTCTTAGAATGAATTTAAGCGGGGATTCTACGCTATTATTTATACGCGGTTATAACGCTATATTCTTTTATACCTGTGAACTCAAATAATTCGACTCATCTTCGTAATGAAAGAACGCATCGTATTTAAAAGTTGTCATTTGCTAACCTTGAATCGCGGTCTTATCATTCGACACGCATACATTCGATTTGCTATTTGTTTATTTAATATTTTCCGGTCAGAGTAAAGCAGTCAATGTTTTAGTTGAACGCCTGCAATTTTTTTAACGAAATGAAATTTTTTATTTTGTTTTCAAACAAAGTTTTCAGCTCTTGTGTTAGTTTGAATTTCGTGAATGTACCAGTAGCAAGCGCATTAAGCTCAGTCGAACTCTTCACCCTTTGGTTTTACCAGGTAAGGTCCACTAAAGTTTAAAAAAAGCGAGAAAAGCATTTGTCAAGTGGTTTTTTTTTATATACATCTTAAAGGCCACCTACATTTTTAACTTATGAACAGTAAGAGGCTGATTCGTTGGAAGGGAAATTTCAAACTTAACATACGATTTTAAAATAAAGGCCGCATTTTACATTACATTAGCTCAAACTTAAAAAATTTGTATTTAAAAACCTTAATCAGATTTTATTTTCAACATCATTATTTAAACGGAGATTGTGGTCCTCTTTCAAAATAATTACTGTCAAATTTTAAATGTGCCAATTAAAAATCTAATTAGTCTCATTCCTTTCTATTTTTTTAATTATAAGCCACGATGCTTTAGGGCAGTGTTTCCCAAATTTATGATTTTTGTGTACCTTTTCTAAATTTTTCGTTAAGCTGTGTACCACTAATAGAAAAAATGAATGTGTTTTTTTTTCCTTTTTGGTACGAAGTTTTGTTAATAAGTTTATTTGCATCAGTGAGAAGGATGATATTGTTTTTGCTGTAATAACAGTTCTAGTGATAAAAATTATATTTCATAAAATAACCAAAATAAATAGAATTTATTACAAACCTTTACTATAAAAATGGCACAAAAGTTAAAAATCACAAATGGCTGTTGACACCACTAATCATTAGCTGTTAATTCTGCAAAATATAGCCAATAGAATAATTTGAAATTTTCGCTTGTTGCAAGATTTTGGCATAAGAACGCGTACCCCTACTAAACTGTTCCCGTACCCTGGGGGTACGGGTACCACACTTTGGGAAACACTGCTTTAGAGGATACAGCGTTTGCCTCCGAATGAGGTTGGAATCTCAGCATTGCTGGATGATACGAATTCTGTTCCTGCTCGCACCACAGTGCTGGCCTCGCCGTCCGGCAACGCAAAAATGAGTTAGTTCAAACGAAAACTCACAAAAGCTCTGTTGTCCCAATGTCTAAGAGTCTTTTGAGTTGGGCTCAAATTGCAAGGCTACGGATAGATGTAGATTTGTGTCGGATCTTCAACACGGGTTATAAAAGATTTCCTAGCTCATGAGCTGATTAACAAGGGGGATCCATTTAAGTGCTAAAATGTAGTTTAAATTGAAAGATCCTGCTGTGAGGCAGTCAGCAATATCTCTTTCATATCTTATGTATTAAACAGAAATAATATTAATTATAAAATATTGAGAATTCAAGATCCGAAGTCTGCATACCCTTACTTAATTGGTACATTAATAAGCGAATTTCGATACTTAAAACTTTACTTACTATAAAACAGCTAATTTTCAAATACTTCATTCCAAAAGCGCTAGTTGAGTAAATAAATATATTTTATTCAATTATTAAACGAAAACCTACCATAAAAATATTTTCTAAAAGACGATATTATTAACACATGAGAAACTTCAAGAAAATTTTAAAAAAAAAATAGAGACTGAGGGTGTGTGGTATTGGTCCTCGTTAAACTGTTCTACAGTGAAGTGCTCGACTTCGTGTGAAGGTCGTTGGGCTACCGAAGCGGGGGTGCCATCCTTTCTGCATAGGATCAAAATTGTGATGGGTCTACGAATCATCTTCAGCGATGTTTCCCAGACCGTCGCCAATAGCCCATTGTGAGTCGCGATGGCTCAGAGGACAGCGCGTTCACCTTCCAATGAGGTGAACCGGGGATCGATCCCGGCGTTGACTGGTCGATGCGAATTCCGCATCCGGCTTGCACCAACCACAGTGCTGACTTGAAATATCCTCAGTGGTAGACGGATCATGCGTTAAGAGTCCCCTTGCTGCCAGGCTAACTGTGGGAGGTTCTCGTGGTCTTCCTCTCCATGTAACGCAAGTGCGGGTTAGTTTCATCAAAGAGTTCTTTACGAAGGCAAATTTCTCCCAATGCTTGATCCAGGAGTTCCCTTGTCTTCTGGATTTCGTTCAAAATGACAAGACTACGGTGTTGAACATTAGTAGTCGTAAACCCAAAAATTGGGTCGGCTGTTTGACGACGGTTATAAAATAAAATAAACCATTGTGCAGCACTAGTGCGACATAAATAAATTATAACTACAACTACAACTGAATTGGTGAATGCATAATCTGTAATAGATAAAATAAGCTGAATTATGCTTCTTTTCTTTTTATTTAAAAATGAATAATGAATGTTATATGAACTGTCATAAATGTTGAGAATGGTTACAAAGAATCATTTCTTTATTGTTGATATTTTTTCTATTTATTTGGATTTAAAAATTTGGCGGAATATATTAATAGACATTTGTNTTGGGTCGGCTGTTTAACGACGGTTATAAAATAAAATAACCCATTGTGCGGCACTAGAGCGACATAAATAAATTATAACTACAACTACAACAACAACTGAATTGGTGAATGCATAATATGTAATAGATAAAATAAGCTGAATAATGCTTCTTTTTTTCCTTATTTAAAAATGAATAATGAATGTTATATGTACTGTCATAAATGTTGAGAATAGTTACAAAGAATCATTTCTTTATTGTTGATATTTTTTCTATTTATTTGGATTTAAAAATTTGGCGGAATATATTAATAGACATTTGCTATAAATGCCGATCTTTTTCAAAATGTATTCAATTTATTTTTATTAAAAATACAGGGGATCGAGCGTTGGCCTGAACCAGGTTCGAATCCCCGTGATGACTGGTCGATACGAATCCGCATCCGACTTGCACCGACCACAGTGCTGACTTGAAATATCCTCAGTGGTAGACGGATCATGGGTTAGAGTCCCTTAGCCGCCAGGCTAACCGAGGGAGGTTCTTGTGATCTTCCTCTCCGTATGACGCAAATAGTTCCGTTAATAGCTCCGTATGACGTTAGTTCCATTAAAAAGTCCTCCACGAAGGCAAATTTCTCTCAATGCTTGATCAAGGAGTTCCCTTGGGTTCAGGATTGGTGTTCAAAATTACAAGGCTATGGAGTTGAACATTAGAAGTCGTAAGTCCCAAAATTGAGACGGCTGTTCAACGAAGGTTATAAAATGTATTCTATTTTTTAATGAAATTTCGATTAAATATTTTCATTAAAACGACGGAAATAATAAAAAAGTAATGGATTGTTTGTTGGAACTTTTGTAATATAGAGAGTTGGTATAAACATATCAAATACTTTAAATTACATTCAGGTTATAATAAAAAATTTTTTAAAATGGAATGTAATTGAAGCTCTAAAATAAAGTAAAAAAATACAGTCAAAATGTTAAAATAAGAATTTCTAATGTAAAATAAACACAAATCATAGCATGAGTTTATTATACTTATATTACATAACCTAATTAAATTTAAAATTCAGATTTAGTTTTAAAAAAATTCAGTTAATAAAAGTTTCATTAAAAAGTAACGCGAATCATATAACAAAAGTATGCAGTAAGATAACACAAATATCTATTTGAACTTATCTGAACTTGTACTTAGTGTGTATATACGAAGACAAATCGGATAAAATAAGTGTAGCTATCTTAATATTTTCTTCTATTAATCGTGTCCAAGCAGCAGTTGGTAAAATTTTATCAGCGTTGAATTTAATGAAGTTCAACGAATAAGATTTTAAGACTTCGCGATTAAACAAATCAGCAATCATTATGATTTCACACGCATTTTCCACCGTTAAATTTGACTTCAAGAAAGAAGCACACTCATCTACAAGGGATGGTACCTGGTATTTTTCTGCAACAAACATCAAGTTTTTGGCTAAGTCAAAATCCATATTTTTTACAGTTCCCGTGTATACAAATTCAAGAAAGGCATGTAAAGTTTGTCCATCCATATCTGCTATATCCACTATGCCTGTTTGATTTTCCACCATGTCTTGTCCGAACATGGCAGCGAACACGGGAGATCGAACACTTAAAACGAATTTATGAGCAGAAATATCCTTATCCACAGTTCGAATCATTATGTCAGAGTTTTGGCCACTATTGAAAAGGTTCCGAAACTCTTCTTGAAGAGAAGTTTCAATCTTTGGCATGCTCCTCGAGACGAAATTGGATTTAAACTTGATGATGGAATGGGAAGAAACACTTTTATTCCAAATGCTGACATCGCAAATCAATTTGAATTCATACAGGGATGAATCGGTTTTACAAAATTCCAACATTTCTTTCGTTATAAAATCAGGAAATAGCCACTTTTCCGGAAATTCAAACAGGTGCACGGCACGTTTCGAATTTATCTTCCAGTCTTTCATGTCGAACATTATAATTTTAAATGTTATCCTCATAGGCAAATCGGACATATCTTCTCTAAATCGGAAATAAATTTTAACAGTGTCTATATTGGAAACTAATGTCACCTCAAATTGATTGGCTTCGACCATAGGAAAAACTATGCTTTCGGAATACTCTATCAGCATTGGTAATTTGACATTCCAATCAGCACGACATCTGTCGACGCCATTTTTTGTACAAGCTTCAGATGCGGAATACATCTGTTCCTGAACTAAATCACTCGTTATCCGACATTGAAGAGTTAAAATATCTTCTTCCCATTTACTCATTTCTTCAGCCAATTCTTTTGTAGCAATCACTTCGTCGGAACCACAACGCGTGAATTTTCTGAAGAAGATATTATTAATTTCAAAAGAAGCTAAAACACAATTTTTGTCATTTAAAATCTCTACAGTGCAAGAGATTGGAATTCGGTGTATACTTTTGTCCGATCCGACCCATATCAAGTAACAAGACACAAATTCTTCATCATCCTCTAAATCTGAACTTCCATTTGGGTAAAAGTCCAACATCCATCTGCTGCCGTACAAACATTTTATTTTAAAAACAGGACTACTTATCTTCTTCCCCTTCTCTCTAAAACAGGCTGAATAATTTTCTATCATCCACTTAAAAACGTATTCATTCGCTTCACCGTCAGACATTTTCTGAAAAATTAAAAACAATGAAAGGCAAACGCTCTCTCAGCTAATTCTGAGGCAAAAATCATTCACAATACGACACTTTTTCAACTTCCTGAATTATCATAGCGTAATCACACAGCTGTCATGTGACTTTTCGAACTAAACGGCTCTTTCTTTTTTCTTTACTGAGTGACGTAACACTGTGAACTCACGAGAAATGACGTATCATTATCGTTTCTTCTGTTGTTGCTCTTTAGTAATAAAATAAATAATATCACCCAAGTGAGGAGGTTTTCGAAAAGCGCATGCTCTATTTTAATTTCTTTAGAGCTTCATACTTCAAAATGTAAAATATGTTAAATTAAACTGAGTATCTCTTTAAAATGTTTTGCAATTTGAAGGAAAAAAAACACCTGCATTTTTTTGTTCATTGTAAATTTAAAGGAATTGTGAATATTGTATAAATATCTGGAGGGAAAAAAATTCAAATTTACGGGCATTCAGGCAGTCGACGAATTTAAAAATCAATAAATTTATTAAAATTTTATTATAAATCTCCTAAGTTTATATAAAACAAATGTTCGTTTTTTCCCGGCATTATAAACAAAAAGTTCATTAGAAGCCGTTAATATTCTAACAAAATAAAAGATTTAAAAATATTTAAATTTGAAGAATATTAAATGACGCGTCATCGTCAATCCAATATTTGTTATAGATGGCTGATGTCACAGCCTAATTTTTATAAATTTTTAACGTTGTATGCTTACAAAACAAAAGACTTTTGATGATTTATTCAATTTATTGTTATTGCAAAAAAAAAAAAAAAACATTGGTTAAAAAATTTTGCTACAATATATATTGGCATTTTCATGTGTACAACTGATACGTTAAAAAAAATTAGGGGATCTTAATTGGATATGTATATTAGTGGTTATATAAAAAGAATCCTGACCTTCAGAACCTCTGTAATCCTTCCGCAGAGCATTTTTTGAGAACCGCTACTGCAACAGATTTTTATATTTATTTATGACGCATTATCTTCAATCCAATATTTCGTAAGGATGTCATAGCCTAATTTTTTGATGAGGGGCCGTTCAAAAAGTACGTACAACCCGAAGGGGGGGGAGGGGATTTGCTATTTTGTACGATTTTGTACGATGGGGAGGGGGGGAGGTATTATACAAAGTACGTACTTACCAAATTTAAATATGTCTTTATCCTACACACTCCTTAAATAAATATTTAATTTTATTTAAAACATAATTATTTTAATTTTTATGAAAAAGGGGGGTAGACTAATAAAATGTACGTACTCTAAGGGGGGGAGTAAGACCTTATGTACGGTAATGTACGAAGGGGGGGGAGGGGTTTAAAATTTCTCCATTTTTGTGTACGTACTTTTTGAACGGCCCCTGATTTTGAAAATCTGTGGCTGTGATTGAGCTTGGATTAAATCTTTGTCAGTATTTAATATTTTTTAGTATGTTTAATATTTTGTTTTTCCATTAAAATTTTAGGATCTTACGAAATTTTACATGGCTTACTTATGGCGCATAATACCAATACCTCCTAGAAAAGAGTAGGCCTCTGCACGGGTTACCATAAATATCCTTTAGTAGTCCAAACGTAATGACATATTTCGTATTTTCAACCACTGCGCAGCTTAGTACCCCGAACGTAATGACATCTTTCTTATTTTTTATCAACTGCGCAGTTAACTTCGTCACATCGGACTACTAATTTGATCCGTGCTGAGGCCTTCCTTATTCTAGGAGGTGTTGATAATACACCTATTTATGACGCGTCATCGTCAATCCAATATTTGTGATGGATGGCTGATGTCACAGCCTAATTTTTCGATGGTTTGGAAAGTCTTTAACTGAGATTGGTGGATTAAAGGTTTTTTAGTGTTTAAATATATATTTTTAGTATATTTACTGTACTTTTTTCTGTTAAAAGTGTAGAATCTAGCGAATTGCCACAAGGATTACTGTTGAATATTCACAATCACATAGTCGCTATAGTAAATGCTTGAAATATTGATTATGTCCGGTTTGTTGTTAATTTACTCATTTATTATTTTATATTTATACGATGTTTTAATACCTCATTAGGATAGATTATTAGAAAAAAAAAGTGTTCGGATTACATGGGAAATGTATACCGGGCAATGGCACTTGGATATTATTATTTGAAAATTATGGTATTGCCGTAAGATCATTAACAGTCGAGTTTTTAACTAAATAACCCCAAGAAACTGAAGAGATAGGATATTACCCGATTAAAAACTAAAACCGCTTTAAAAATACATAAAAATACATACAGTGTTTCAAGCGCTTTAGACACAGGCGTCCATTTCCAAAGTTTGCCGGAGAGGAATGAAAAGAAACAAAAGTATTATTATTATTTTTTTTTTTTTTGGTGTTGTAGAAACTTCCAAATTTCGATGTCAAAGCATGAATGATATTTTTTTGCAAAGGATATGACAACGTGCGAATACAGAATAAAAACTGCATAATCTAAAACAGTATAATTGGAAATTAAAATAATTCACTTAATATGGGACTAAGCTTATTACCCATGGCCCATTTCACCTATATTAAGTTACTACTGACGTTATCGGAGATCTAGCATAGCGATGTCCTCAGATACATTGTTCTTGTAAAAGGAGACTATTTAGAAAACGTTGTTCCATAGTTTTATTATAGTTATATTCTATAATTATCGATTTTCGTAATTATTAAAAAAGTTTCATGAAAATAAATTACAAGTTTTCTAAGTACGATGCAGCATACCGCACATTTCTACTTTCAACTAATTCCCTTTCAGTTTTTCTTTAAATCGTCGGTCTTTTTTGTGACACCAATTATCAGAGAGAAAAGGTTTATAAATACATAAATAAATACGTTTGTTAACTGTCTATGATAATGCTAAATTTTTGTCGTTATTGATGTTAAGATATCTACTTGCAAGTGCAACAGTCAAAAACATTTAGATTTTGTCGTGCTCTTATCTGCTACGGAGTTTTTCTGATAAGAAGATTAAAGGGTGTTTTGATAATATTGCAATATGATGGGAGAAAATTATCACCTAGATAAATGCAAGAAAATGTTACGTTGTTAAAAAAATATTCATTGCCTTTTCGTGTATTGTCTATTATCTTTATTTCATTTATCTTCATTTGAAATCGAAAAATGGCTGAGCAAAGACTGCGTAAATATTCCTTCTCTTGGAGAATTGAAAACTTTGATTATTTAGTACATTTTAACGCTTGTGACTTCAATGCCTATCTCGAAACCCCTGTATTTAAAATTGAGGTTTTGGGGGACAGTGAATGGATTATGCGTCTTTACTCTAAAATGTGCAATCAAACGAAGACCTTTCGAGTAATGTGCAAATTGGAAAGACATAACAAAACTACCAAAAGCCCCTCATCAAAATCCAATATTTTTATAGATTCTTACCTTGAGTACAAGCTGACTTCTAGCAGTGTTTTAAAGCAAACTCCTATTGAACACAAAAAATGTTTATACGAATCATTACCAGATTCTTATAAACTAATTGAATTGAACGGTGTGCAATTAACGGAAGAAACAAGATTGGAATCAATTATTTTACGCTGCCAAATAGAAGACAGTAGTTTCAGGCAGTTACCAATTTCCCATGAAAACACAATAATGTGCTCTAACGCTATTACGCTTATTAAGTGTGTGCCTTATCACTCAGTGTGGTCTTTAGAATTCTCAAGTTTCGAAGATTGGTCAGCAACTAAAAAAATTGAGTTGGAAGGTATTCCAATCGAAGTTACTTTCACTTACTTCAATGACAAACTTCAGATTGAACTTTTTTCAAATATTGAAGATAATGCAACTCACTTTGTCCAATGCTGGATAAAGCTTTTAAATAATATAAGAGGATTCATAGTGGCTTCAAAAACGGCTGATCATAACTTTAACAACAAAAGTAAAATATGGCAATTTCCCACTTTTATTTTTAAAAGCAATTTAGAAGAAGCCACCTGTTTTGATCTTGAAGAAATAAGAATTAAGTTTGGTATTTCATATCAGTATTCATCTAAGATGCTTGTTTGTGGAAAAGGTAGGTCAAATGGCAAGAATAAAGAACTGTTGAATAACGAAACTATACATGAATATGAAAACTTTCCGGTGGTCTCCAAGAGCTCTGTTGGTTATGATGTAAACTGCGTGGAACATTTGCAATATAATTTTCATCAACTACTACTTGAAAAAAAATTTACTGATGTCAAATTGCGAGTTGAGAAAAAACTATTTTTAGTTCACAAATGCATATTGGCTGCTCGATCTCCTGTTTTTTCTGCCATATTCGACCAGGACATGGTAGAGAGCAATACGGGCATTGTGGATATCCTTGACGTAGAACCAGAGACAATGGAATACTTTTTAGAATACATTTATGCGGGAACTCTTAATGGAATGAACCGTGAAATGGCTTTAAACTTGTTAATAGTTGCTGACAGGTATCAAGTAGTACCGTTGGTGAACAAGTGTTCAGCATTTTTGGAATCTGTTCTTTCTCTAAATATTGTTTGCCGTATTTTATTTATAGCTGACATGATAAATCATGATTTTTTAAGAGATTCTGCCGTGGACTATATCGTAAATAATTCCACAGAAACTCTGTCTTCGCCGGAGTGGAATGATTTGATAAAAAGGAATATCACTTTGGCAACGAAAGTACTATTCAGAATATCGAAAAAATTTGACACAACCACAAATATGGTGAGTAGTTTTTTTTTTTATTTAGAACACAGTTTCTTAATTATTCACGGTTTCTAACACTGGTTCGACAAAATAAAAGAAATACTTCAATATTAATTCATTTTTTCACAATTCTCAAATAATTAGATAATCATTTTAAAACTTAAGAAGTGTTTAAGACATGCTATTTCTCATAAACATCAATAATAAAGATTAAAAAATTTTTAGGGACTGGCAATAAATTACGAATGAAAAAGACAGATATTTTTGAACATCCTATGCCATAAAATACAGCAATAAGTTTGTAAGTCATGTCAAATACGTTGATTATTATATGAAAGAACTACACAAACTTATGTAGACCTAGTTTAAATATTCAAAGAGAAATTGACATTTTTATGAAAAAAATAACTTTTTTTTACATGTGCTTTCCTACTATAACTGCAGAAATATACAATGAAATTAAATAAAATTTTTAGAGTAATTTTTAATTAATAAAAAAAAGATCATTTTAAAAGTTTAAAAGAATTACTAAAATGCACAAGATATAGGTATTTAAAATAATCTTTTCATACTGCGCAAGTGCGGAAAACATTTAATTCTTCATCATAATTTTATTCAGAATCATTTTTATTAGCTTGGGGAAAAGTTCGATTTGAATATCCTGAAAATGTAAAAAGTTTACAGCTAATTTCTAAATAGTATTTGTTCTTTTTTATTGAAAGATCTGAATGATCAGGAGTTTTCCACAAATTTTATTCTGCGTCATTACATAATTTTATAACAAATGATAGAAAGCTAAAAGGATTGTCCAAACAACAAAATGTGATGGTATTAGGAAATAAAACAAGGGAAATGATGTAGTTAATTTACGTCGCACTAGAGCTGCACAATGGGCTATTGGCGACGGTCTGGGAAACATCTCTGAGGATGATCCGAAGACATGCCATCACAATTTTGTTCCTTTGCAGAGGGGATGGCACCCCCGTTTCGGTAGCCCGACTACCTGCAAGCGAAGTGGAGCACTTTACAGTAGAACAGTTTAACGAGGACCAATACCGCACACCCTCGTCCCCACGCAGACTAATCCAAGTGGTCACCCACCCGCACACTGTCCGCAGCCAGTGATGCTTGACTTCGGTCAAGCAACAAGGGAAATGAAACATATTTTAATCGGGTGTGAACCTATATAGTGCCGATGTCAATTTTAAAAAATCCTGTTAAATAGTAAAAAATTAAATTTGTGGGAAACCCCTTACCGTTCAAAGATTTCTTTCCAAAATAACAAAAACTTGTAGAAAATTTTTATAAACCTTTGAAATTTTCAAAATATTCTATCATGACTTTTTCCGTAAGTTATCAAATACGATTTCTAACAAAATTATGAAATTTTTTTTAATGTTTTCTGTCAATGCGCAATATGAAAATAATAATTTAAATACTCATATCTTTTAGCGAATATCTCATTTATCTAATTTAAATACTCATATCTTTTAGCGACGAAAAAATTCATTTAAAAGTGCTGAAGCACTTTTAAACGAATTTTTCTTTAAATTTTAAAATTATATATTTATTATTACTTAAAAATTATGATAAAAATTTTGTTTAATTTTATGGAATATTTCTGCAGTTATAGTAAGAAAAAGTAGGTAAAAAAATTAGCTTTTTATGAAAAATGTTTACATCTCCATGAATATATTTAAGCTAGGTTAACGAAATGTTTTTCAGTTTTTTCATAATATAATCAACATAATTTACATAATTGAACTGTATTTTTGGGCGTTGCGAAACATTCTTTCACAATCGTAATTGTTACCGGTCTCTCAAACCTCTAAACATAATCGATATGCATGAGAAATTGCATGACTTAAATACTTTTAAAGTTTTAAAATAGTTCTAAATATTTCTTGAAAAAATTGGAAAAAAAACGCGTTAATATAAGAAGTGTTTCCATTATTTTGTCCAACCCTAGTAGAAGTATATTGACTAATTTAGTAGAATAAGTTACTGATATCATACCGTATTTAGAAAAAAATAACTCACAAATTTGGAACGAAAATACTATACTTTTCTTCATCGTTTAACTGCTTCCTGATAAAAAGAATTGTTTACACGATGTTAATATTCCTTCATACTAGTTTCGTTATTTTAAAATAGAATATGTAAAAAGCATTAAATTGTAGAGAAAACGTGTTTATTTTCGGGTAAAACACAGTATTTTTTCAACCAGTCCATCTCGACTACAAAAACTGGAAGGGGTGACTTAAAAAAAACTTGAAAAATGAAAATACAGAAGGAAATTTTGGAATTGTAAAAATCACTCGAATTTTCAAAATCGTAAGCATTTTTCTGAGAAAACACCCAAAGCATCTGTAAGAAATCATGTGGTAAAAAAATGGAAAACTGCAAAATGGACTAACTCTTAAGAGTAAAATTTGTTGTCAAAATCCTATTTTTTATACCATAATTATTTGTGCACTTGCATGCAAAAGGTATTTTTAAACATTTAAAAGCATATGGATTATTTACAATACCTTTTCTGTCTAAAGCTGTATGGTTGAAGGAGGACGAATGAGCATAACAGAAATTCTCAATATTTTCTTTTTTTTAATAATTACTCAGCAGATGGATCTCATAGATTTTTGGATATTAACAACTTCTATCAACATCTCCTAGAAGAGAAAAACAGTCCGCACGAGTTATCATAAACGAGAAATCCAATCGTTTAGTAATCCGAAAGTTACGACATCTTTTTTAATAACCCCCACTACGCAGTTTGTGTTCATTATATCAGACTTACTATATTGATCCGAGTGGAGGCTTGTTTCTTCCAAGAGGTGTTGCTTCTATTCGATCCTCGTTCTGAAGCAAAAGCTAGAAAACGGTCTTTCACACGAATTATAACTCTTGGTCGGCTTGAAGCCTGTCATTCCGTTTCACCCTTGGTAGTAATGAGAAAGACAAGGAATATATAAATGCTGCTCTAGAAATTGGATTTGATAACGATTAGGAGCGTTTAAAATTGAAAATTTATGCCATAAATGCAAACATTTTGTTTATATTTCTCAAGAAATAATATGAGAATCATTTTATAACTTCAGAAATATTTATATCCCGCGATTTCTCATGCTTCTCAGTGAAGTTTAAAGATTTTAGAGGTTTGAGGGAAAGACAATAAATTACAAATGGAAAATAGTGTTTTTGAAACCCTTATGCTGAAAAATGTGGGAATAAATTTGTAACTTGTAAAAATTATTTTGGTTGTTATATGCAATAATAGCACAAAATTTCGTAAACCAAGCTTCGATAGTTATAGAAATATGGACATTTTTGAAATTTTTTTTCTCATAGTTTGGTTGAGAATCGCAAAAATAGTTCGATTTGAATAAGTTAAAAATTTAAAAAGTTTCAAGCAATTTTCTAAGTAGTTTTACCTACTTTTTAAAGGAAACTAAAGAATGATAAAGGGCTTTTGTACTATTAAAACAAGATTTATTAAAAATGCCAACCGGTATTGTTGGGTTTCATCCCAAATAAAGGCATCTTCTCTTTTGCCTCATTTCCGTTATTGTGCTATCATAGGTTTGGCGTATAAATGTTTATTGTAAAGAATTATCATTTGTTATTTAATTTTGTCTTATAATATAAAATATTATTTGTAGAAAACCCCTTATCATTTGTATCAAACCCTTTACAATGACTCACTACAAAATTACGAGAAAAAAAATGTCAGCTTTTTTCCACGCATGTGCAGTATAAAAGAGCTACTTCAATTACTCATGTCTTGCTCAATTTTAAACGAATTTTTCAAAAATTTAAAGCAATAATTTCGTAATTAATTTTAAGTTGCTTCAAAAATTTTGTTTAATTTTATTGAATATTTTTTAAGTTATAGCAAGAAAACCTTCGACAAAAAAAAATAGTTTTAATATCTAATCCAAGTTTACTAAATTTTGCGCAATTATTGCATGCAATTATCAAAATAATTGTTACAAGTTACAAATCTATTCCTTCATTTTTCAGCATAGGGTGTTAAAACTCACTATTTTCAGTTTGTAATTTATTGTTGGTCCCTCAAACCTTTAAACTTCATTGAGAAATCACATGATCTAAACACTTCTTAAATTATATCTTTAATTGGAATTGCCTGTTCTCTCTACACAATCACCTAAAGAATATTTATGCTTTATACTTACATGTATGAAGAAAAATTTACATACTATATGTTAACAAAAAATATATACAATAAAATTTATGTTAGAAATTCGCATCACTAACATTTTTTAAAGTAGTACTTGGAAAAAAATTAGATAAATCCCGATTCGGTCTATTTTGAAGCAGTAGAGAAAGAAAAAATAAAAATAATGTAGATATTAATAAAATTAATATTTTTAGTTTTTTTTTTATTTGTCGCATGCTCCAGTAAAGCAAAGAAAGCTCTTTTTTTTGTCCTTGTCTTAAGATGTTTCAGAAAATAAAATATTTTGCAATGTACGGTAAATCTTTTCATTTACAAAAAGGGAAAAATCCTAATTTTAGGTTTCGGTTTCAGATTTGAAAAGAGAAAAATTATTCCTTGTTTCTCATTAAGGAAATCATAAAAACTCTTTTTTTTCTTTTCTTATTTTGTGATTGCAAATTTTTAGTCGTTTCTCCCACCTCTATGCGATATGATAAAATAATCTATAAATGCAGTGATAATCTGGATTATTTAATTTACTTCCACCACAATTATTGCTTACAATTATTTCTTATTACACATTGCTTTATTTTTATTCTTATCCAATTTACTAATTGCAGTTGTATCTAATTTTTTTTTGATTTCAGGACTGAGTTGTGTATGAAGGACAGAACAACTTTCACAGAAGTTTGGCTAAAAAAAATTATTGCTAATATTAATTCAGTTATATTCAAAGATATATATCATCACGTTTCATAAATTGCATAAACTATATCAACGAAATTTTTTTTATTTGAATAAATGATGTTATTTCCATACAGAATTGTATTGTTTCTTAGGAAGGAAAATAAAAGCAGGTTCTCAATTTTTTATTACTTAAATATTTTAACGATTAAAATTGCTGTACAATTTGAAGCACTCAATTGTATTTATTTTTGTTCAATGAATACAAAGAAAATAAATTTTATTTCATGCAGCTTATAAGTATGCAAAATAAAAAACAGAACACTTTTATGTTTTTTGATCTATAGATATTAAATCATCACATCATTAATAATAAGATGAAATTTTATTTGGGAATAATATTCTATTTTCATAATTGATCTGAGTTTGCAACAATAACGCCTGACTGTTATAGAGCGCCCTCTATGTTTATTCTGAAAATTGTAAAAAAAAGTCATAATGTAGAAAAGCCACAGCTTTTAAAAAATAAAAAGTGTTTGTGGTCTAATTTTTAAATATTTAAAACTTTACTCCAATGCTACCTTATCTGTTCTCATTAAAATTTGTAAAAAAATGGGAGTGAGGCATTGATTTTGCTAATTTTTACCTAGATGGAAAAATGTCTCCAAATTTCAATTTTTAAAAAAGTTCAATAACTTTAAAGTTTCATTTATTTGTTATTTATCCGTTTTAAAGCCAGATAATTCTTTACATCAGGATGGCAGATGCGGTATAAAATAATAGCTCTGCTTCAAGGCAATTATACATTCCTTATACATATGAATATGTAGATATTCTACATATATTCTTAACTACATATATTAACATTACTACACATTCTGTTAACTCTGTTCATTTGTTTAAAAATGGTATATAAATAGATGTTTTTAGAAACATTAGAATTCCAAGAAACTAGTTTATTTATATTAAAGTTAAAAAACAATATTAGAAAGCACTCCTTTTTGCGAATATAATCGTGTGAGCTGATGTGATTATGTTATTTTTTTTCACGGATTTTCTTTCTTGATTTATTATGTTATTTCAGTATTCTTCTTCTTCTCTCGATATTTTGCATTATATAAGCCTGATGACCTAAAGTTTGCCCTTGCTTCCGGTGATTTAAAAGAGTAAGAGAGGTAGCTTTAAAGAATGCTGTCTAGACAAGCAAGGTGCTGGGTCTTAGAATTACTTATGCTTTATCTAAAGTAAACAAGAGTAAGTCAATAGAACTAAATGTTTAGAAGTTATAATTGTTTCATGTATAAAAAACGACCATTTTTTAACTATATACCTTATAACGCGGATGAAATTCTGATAAGAAAACAGCATGGTGACCTATGTATTTTGCCATTAAAAATCAAATGCTCTACAAATGCTTCTTAAAGATTAAAAAAAAAGTTCAAAATATTTATAACTGTCCTATTGAGGAATTATCCGTTTACATAACTTTCTTAAGCTTAGGAGACAGAGGAGAAGAAGATTTCGAGATTAGAATCTCTTTATGACCAATCTTTTAGTTAAGTAATCATCATAAATGCATGAAAAAATAGCTTACTTTTATAATAGTGTTAAACAAAATAGACCCTTAGACCTTTTTAAAAAAAAAAAAATAAACATTCTTGTCAACTCAATCGTAGTTTGAAAGTTTAATCCTTTAATTAACATTTTCAGCAAATTAATAGATGCAAAAGATAGCATTTTTAAAAACATAATACTGTTCAGACAAGTGTTTAAATATAGGTTTAATAGTATAATTAATACCGGCTAATTATCACTAAACAATGAACTAATATTGCGTGAATTTGTAAAATTAATGTGTAAATTCAACAAATGTGCAAATTTAATGTCTAAATTAGTGTTTATTAAAAAGCGTAATTCATTAAAAACTATAATAATAATTAATTATTATACACTAAACTTAGCTTCTTATACAGAATTAACAACACATTTTAATTTGAACAATTTACATGTTTATTCGATGATGTATCAGTGATATCTAAAAATATATTTCAGTATAGCAAAAATATATTCAACCCAATTTTAATTTTAATCAATTCCGATAACAATAATATTATACTTTATAATTAATTTGTTATACACAATTAAAAACATATTTTAATTTAAAACATTTTACTTGTTCGATTCAAAATGTCTCTGTGATGTCTGAATATTTATTTCAATATAACAAAAATAGATTCGACCCAATTTTAATTTTAATTAAATCTTTGCTGCATTTACTTTAATCATGTTTAAAGGCGCACAATCTCAAACTTTCAGAATTAATCAAATCGGCAATAATGATTAAGTAACACACAATATCCGCTAATATGTTTGACTTCAGGAAAAAGAACATTTAGCCATAGGCCAAATAAGATACAATTAATACTTACTTCGTGCACCTCAAGTAGTACTTGCAAATAAGATTAATTTTTTTGGTCATATTTTATCAACTTCACAGCATTTACTTTAATCACGTTTAAAGCGTTTAATCTCAGACTTTCACAATTAATCAAATTGGCTGATTGAATCACACACATTATTCACTGATATGTTTAACTTCAGGAAAAATATATATTTAGCCATAGGCCCAAAAAGATACAATTAACACTTACTTCGTACACCTCAAGTGGAATTTACAAATAACGTAAATTTTTCAGGCCATATTGTTTCTAATTACAGAACCCTAACAGAGGCTTTCAAATTTTTCTCATCCATGTCTGGTGTTTCCACTACAACAAATTGATTTTGCAGTATGAAAATATGCATTAAAGGAATCCATTATGCAAAGAGTATAACTGATCTTGACAATATTGGCAATACTTCAGTATACAGTAAGAGAAAATGAGTATGACTTCTGTATTGAAGAAATGCAGTGCTATTTATTTTATTTACAACAACGACAAAACAAATTTTTAAACGTATATTAATTTCACTTCTCTCAAAATATTTAAAAAAAATAAAAAATATTTCAGTATTACTCGCAAAAAAAAAATACAAATGTTTATCCATTGTATTATTGATAGTTAGACTAACTTGTATTTAGTGCTGAGAGCAGCGGATAAGGTGGATAAAATGTGCGAGGCAAGTTTGACGTTTCCTTCAATCCATCGCGACCAAGTAGCTGTTGGTAAAATTTGAGCTGCGTTTGCTTTAATAAAGCTCAAAGCATATAGTTTCAAGCATTCACAATTAACCAAATCAGCAATCGTGATTATTTCACATACGTTTTCCACCGACATTTCCGATTTCAAGCTAAAAGCACACTCACTTACAAGGGAAGGAACTTCATATTTGTCTGCAGCTAGAATTAGCCTGCTAGCTATTTCGTAATCCATTTTAGCCACACTTTCTGTATACAAATATTCAAGAAAGGCTTTTAAGGTTTTCCCATCCATGTCAGCTACATCCACTATACCAGTTTTGTTTTCCAGCATATCTTGATCAAACATGGCGGCGAACACTGGTGATCGAACTCTTAGAATGAATTTATGCGCTGGTAATTCCTCGTTTTCTACACGAATTGCCACATCAGAATATTTTTTACTAAGAAAACTGTTACGAAACTCCCTCAGGAGAGAAGAAGTAGAATAAGCATTTGGGGAGTTCTCTTTGTCCGCAGAACCAGCCGATGCTTGCGATTCCAGAACGGGTGCGATTTTGAAATGTTCTATAGATTCGTGAAATGTGTTACCATTGGGAACGTAGGCTTCACATTTCAACTTAAACTCATAAAAAGCTGGATCTATTTGACAAACCTCTAACTGTTTCCGTGTAATTAAATAAGGAAATTCCCATTTTCCATCAGTTTCAAGCAAACGTGATGCTCGCTTTGAAATCAATTTACAACCAACTCTATCGTAAATGGTGATTTTAAATGTCACAACTCGAACAAACTCTGGTCGATCTTTAAGCTGAATGAAAATCGTAACTGTCTCCAACAGTGGTGCGGCTTCGACAGTCATTTCAAATTCATACTTGTTTGGAATCGATAATGCCATCTTTTGGCTATATTCGAACAATGCAGGTATTCTAATGTCCAATTCAGACACGCTTTGATCAACTCCGACTGTTGTAAAGGCTTCTGATTTGGAAATAGTTTTTCTGCTTAGTTTTCCATTCTTTATTCGACATCGAAGGGTTAAAATATCTTCTGACCAGCTATCCATTGCTGTTGCTAATTCGTCGAAATTCATGAAACCCGGAAAACCCCAATCTATTTCTTCTTCATTAAACACATGGTCGTTAATTTCCGCATAATTCAAAATACAGTCATCTTCGTTGAGTATTTCTATACTAAAATCTACAGAATCTGTTTCTACAACTTCGTCCGATCCGTACCATATTAAATAGGCAGATGCATACTTATCATTATCTTCTAAACATATATCACCTTTTGGGTAAAAACACAGAGACCATAGGCTTCCTTGTAAATTTTCCGTATGAAACATGGGACTCTCAATATGTTCTCCCCTTGCTTTGCAGCCTGACGAATAGTTTTTTATTCTCCACGTAAAAATGTATTCACTTAATTTCTCTTCACACATTGTAAAAATAAATTTATCCCGTCTTGATGTCTCTAATTCTAGAAGTAAAGTAATCATGTAATTCAATCTGTATGTTTTCTTCAAATAATCACGTGAGTCAGTGACTCAGTTGAAGAAATTTCTTTTCTCATCCAAGGTTGATTTAAGGTCACCAAGGTCACCACTACAACTACACTGTAAGAAAATGTTTGTTTTGCTTTACTTTTAATCCAAGGGACTTCAAACGGAAATATCTTATTGAGTAACAGGAAAAATATTTTTAGTACATGCTATTATATTTAAAAAAAAAAAATAACGACTAAACAAAAACTTGTAGACAATTTCAAATGCAGTTGATAAAAAATATTCAATATTTTCTTGTCTTTGGCAGAGCGTAATTTTTTTAATTATTGAACAATTTCTGCTCAGAATATTATACTAATAATTTTTTGGAGGAATTTCTATTTTGGTATATTTTTTTAAACAAATCTTATAGGAAATATTGTCATCAGTAAATTAATATGTTAATAAAACTGAAAATTTGAAAATACTTTACTTTTCTATAATAATCAACAAAAAATAAAAATAAAGCTATATTTATTTATTATTATTATTATAAGTAAAAAATACTATTTTAAAGTTTTACAATCTTAAGGATCGAAATACTTTTCTAATTATTTATTATTTATTTATCGTTATTATTTTATAATTATTACTTAGCTAAATTGTTTGGTCCTATTTTTATACTACATGCATCGTTTATTTGTTAATAATTACAATGGTTACGTTTATATTATGTCAACTTGAAATTAAATGTATATCATACGTTTCTGAAAGAATTCCTTAGAAACTATTTTAAAATTGCAATTTTATGAATGTGCCAATAAAATTATAATTTTTTTTTAATTTGTCTGTTTTCTGCTATGATATAACATATTTTTATGTGTCTCGCATTTTTTTCTTTATTGAAACGTATCATTTCTTATTTTAAAATATATGATTAAATCCAATATTTGATTACATATTAGAAAATAATAAATTATGCACTTAAATGAGGTTTATTCTTTTGTTATTTAAAATAGTTATGATGAATCAAGATTTAAAATTAACGAAAAAATCCTTATTAAATCATATTCTATAATGAAATACACATAATATTGCTTCATGAGAAGCATCGAACAATCCAACATTTTATTGAGTTATAACGTGCTAAATAACATTTATTATAACATAAATTTATTCTACAATTACATAAATTTATTCTGATAGAAAGCTAAAAATTTACTACGTGAAAAATATTTAAGTGTTATTAAATTAGCAAAAATTTATTAATAATAAGTGAAAAATATTTTACGTGGCTCAAAAGTTTGAACTATTCATTATAGTTTTCATTTTAGAAACTTGAATACGGCGTTAGTTTATTGTTCGCTTATACATCCGAAAATGACGACACAGAAGCCTTGACTCTCGGTGGCTTTGCATTAACTTCATTTAAATACGATGAAGTGTCATATTGCATTTAAATATCTGCTCATTCTCAGCAAATAGCGAAACAAGAGATAAATAAATTTTAAAAAAGTGATACAAAATGATAAGCTTTAACAGCATCACTCATGCTTTTAATGATAACTCTGATAGGGGTGTTCTCATTTTGTTCTGGTGGCTTAAAGCTTATTATTATGTAATCGCATAACTGACATGAAGCAACCTTCTTTTCATTCATATTATTTCTGTTCATCGTTCTATTTTAAAAATATGGCTGATGACAAAAAAAGCCAATTTATCTTTACTTGGAAAATAAAAAATTGTTTGACCTGGAATAGCGCGGAAAAAATTTCCAGTCCGATATTTGTAGTGGATTTTCTTGTCGTACAAGAATGGTATTTAGATTTCTATCTAAATAAATATTGCGATGAGAAAAGACGTTTCACAGAATGTTTTTTGTCAAGGAAAAAAACAGATTTATTTAGGCAAACAGTGCTCCTGAATTATAGAATAGAATTTGTTGACATAAATGATCAAGTTTTAAACAGTAAATCTTCCGAAATGGAGTTTAAAAATAATGGATCATGGGGTTGGGATATGATTGAAGTTGAGCAACTATATGAAAGTATGAAAACTTGGAGCGAAGATACCTTGACGATTCGTTGTACGATAACAAGTCTTGAGAACACTGAGAAACCTCTAAGAACAGAGTGCGATGCTCTTACTATTATAGATGTCGATTCATGTGCTTTTAAATGGGATCTTTCAAACTTTGGATTTCTAAACTCTACTGATAGTGTAACATTGCCATATTTAGATTCTTCTGACTTTAAAATTACTATAAGTGCGCCAGAGAAGAATGTTACTATTAATATGCAGGTATTAAAAGAGGAATTATTAAACGAATTAATCAAGATTAAAATAACTTTTCTGAGCGACATATGGGGAGAAATAGCTTCTAAGTGCGATGTACATACTTTTGAATCGATGGAGCCATGGCAATATCCAACATTTGTAGCTATGGAAGATTTGAAATTAGCAAACGTTGTTTCAACTCGACGCAAATACACATTCATTTCCGAATATGCCGTTTCAAAAGCAAAAATTGCTTCATCAACTATCCAAAGATACATTCACAGATTAAATTTCAGTAAAGAATTCAATTCAAAGCCAAAATCTTGTAATCGTTTGTTGAATGATTTTCAGAAACTCTACACCAATAAAAAATTTTCAGACGTAAAACTGCGAGCAGAAAATGAAGAGATTCTTGCCCACAAAGCTGTCCTAGCCGTTCGATCACCTGTTTTCTCGACAATGTTCGATCAAGAAATGATGGAAACTCAAACTGGCACTGTAGACATCCAAGACGTGGATATGAACACTTTGCATAGCTTAATAGAGTATATATATACTGAAACCATACATGATATGGATTGCGAGAGTGCATTGAAACTGTTATTAGCAGCTGATAAGTATCAGGTTCAATCACTAGTGGAGGAATGTTCATCCATGGTGTTGGGTCACTTGAATATAGAAAATGTATGTGAAGTGATCGCTGTGGCTGATATGATTAATCATGAAAGTTTGAAGAATATAGTACTAAACTATATGTTTGGTAATGCTACACAAGTTTTAGAGACAACTAGCTGGTCTGAATTGATTGAAAATAATGTGAAATTAGCTTCTGATATTTTGAGCAAATTATCAAAATATTTTAAGCATAAAAAACAGCTTGAAGATAAGTAAGTTGTGTTTTATTTGTTTCTAATTAATATTGGCATAATGTTAAATAAAATTAAATATGTATTGGTGATATTTGTGTCTTTTAGAAAAACATTTAGGTTTGTGTAGTTCTTTTGCGAAATTAAAATCTGTATCTGTAATCTATATAAGTTAAATTCTATGCGAATTTGTTAGCAATAATATAATGATTTTTATTATTTTTTTAATTNTTATATCAGTTTCCGTTTTTAAAAGCGCTATATGTTGAGCCACCTCAGCTAGATTTGGCATGCGACATTTTTAGCGGCAATCATTGGTCGATTCGCTGTGTAAGAGAAATAGTAACGTAAACAAAACAAAGCAAACGTTGCCACCGGCGGAAAAGAAATACAGCCAACATTTGGGAGCCACGTAAGAGAATTATATATAATAGATTTTAAAGCTGATCTTGATTTTATCAATCTACATTAAAACAGAAATACAGTAGTCTGTAGTCCAATTCTTTGAATGCACTGAGATAAATGATTTGACAGAATGTTTTGCGTTATTTAAACCAGGCTGCCAAAATTAAACAATGCCAGTAATACGTATTTTATTTACTGTTTAAACACAACTAAAGTTTATTTTATAGTTGATCTTGATTTTCTCAATCTACATTAAAACACAGATACAGCAGTCTGTTGTTTATTTTTATTGAATGTACTGATTTTAATAATTTGGAAGAATTTTAAACTTAATTTAAACCAGACAGCCAAAATTAAACAATGCCGAATCGCAGTCGATACGAATTCCGCATCCGGCTTGCACTGACCACATTGCTAACGTGAAATATCCTCAGTGGTAGACGGATCATGGGTTAGAGTCTCCTTGCCGTCAGGCTAACCGACTGAGGTTTTCGTGGTCTTCCTCTCCATGTAAAGCAAATGCGGGTTAGCTCCATCAAAATGTCCTCCACGAAGGCAAATTTCTCACAATATTCGATCACAATATATCCCCTTGTCTTCTGGATTGGGTTCAAAATTACAAGGCTATGGAGTTGAACAGTAGTAGTCGTAAATCCATAAAATTTGGTCGGCTGTTCAACGACAGTTATGAAATATAAAATAAAATATCTTTAATATATGTAAAAATTTAAATCATCTATAGTTAAATTTAAAACAATGGCTAGCACTTGACAATCAGAAAATTCCTTTTAGATTTTTGCTCATACCACTAGAACGGTTTGTAGTAGAATGTTCTAATGACGACGGTGACCTTCTACGTGCTTCAAACTAATCATCAGGCTTCATGTGCCAAATTTTATCGATTTCGGCTGGATGGTTTAGGAGTCTGTAAAGGACACAAACACCCACACCCAGACAGACAGACGTTCATTTTTATATAAATAGATTTGAGTTAAACTGCGAATATTTACTATTTCCAATTATTGTATTCAGTTTTATTTATTTTCTCGCATAAATGTTACTAAAATTTATTTTATTACAGGCCCTGATTCTCTGCCTCTACTTCAGTCAATAGATAATGTAGTTTGTTGTCCAATTTCTCGTTCTGAAATTCACGATTTGAAAAACAATTACATTTTATTTGAATTAGTGCTAATATGATAAGTAAGCAATTTTAGTTTATTTATTGTATAAGTGCTACTGAAATTTGTCTTATTACTGATGTTAATGTTTCGCTGTATACATTGAAATTTACGATTTTACAAAATTTTATGCTTTATTTGTATCAGACTGTTACTGTTAAATGTTTCCGAATGTATGAAATTTGATTTTATTTGCCTTGTCTTACTAAAGTTTATTTTTATAACTGATCTTTATTTTCTCCTTCTATTTGAACTAACTCATAGATATTGTGGTTTGTTGTCTAATTCTTTGAATGCTCTGAATTTAATAAAAGTGCAACTGAATTTTACTACTATATGCACTGAAATTTATTTAAGATTTGATAAAATATTTTATTTTATTTGGATCAGACTAATATTAGTTATTTCTATTAAATTTGTTAAAGTTCTATTATTAAGAAATAAAAGTACATAAGAAAGAAGAGTAATTAAAAGAAATTAATAATTATTAAGAAATAAAAGTAATTATTAAGAAATAAAGTAATTAAAAAATATAAGTTCTATTATTTATACATTTTACTTAATGATCTTGGTTATTTACATCTACGTATACAAAGTCATACTCTAGTCTCTAATAAAGAAAAATTTTTTTAATACACTAAAATTTAAGAAATGCCATTTCTAAATATGCAATATTTATAACGACAATTTGAATGCTTTTTATATATTTTGTGTTAACTGATTTTTATTTAAGATGATTGGTAATTTTACCGTTCACTATGTTAACGGTTTTATGGGAGATTCTGGCTTTCATAATCATAGATTTCACAACTATAAATTTATCCAAAAAAAAAAGAAAAAAAAACGGAAAAGTAAATTTAACGGAATTTTTATGCCGTGCTCTAAAGTATCATGATCAAATTACCAAATTTAATAATTACAAATTTTATCACCTTTTATTAAACTATATTTCTATTGTTGTTTTACCACAATCAAATCCAAAGCGCTTCAGTAAAAATTACCTATTTGTTGCCATAAAGACAGAAATACTGTAAATTATGCCATATTCTGGTAGTTTTGACTGGTAGTTTTGACTATAAGTTTTTTCTTAGTGCACCATATAATTTCCAATAAGATACTTACTAGATATATCACTATGGGATTCATTCTAAGTAATGGTTTAGAAAATTACGCCGACTAAGTAATGGTTTAGAAAATTACGAGCCATAAATGGGAAGTAAACGGAAAAAAAATTCGCCTTTTAAGATTTCGAAAATAAACAAATAAATAAAAAATCAAAATAAGCGAAGTAACATATCCTATAAAACTAATTAAAGTATTGTTAGTAGGGAAAACTGGGATAAAACAGACACACACTTCTGAAAACCCTTTTTTTAGCAGTCTTGGCAACGAGTAAAATTTTCAGGGTGTACCCTAGTAAGCACCCTTAATGCGTACTTTTAGAATTTTTGTCAAAAAAGAATCATAGTTAGCATCCAAAAAGGCATTGAAACATGGGAAACCACTAATGAGAAAGACAGGATGAAAAAATAAAAATATGTTGGTTCAAAATATATTTCAAGTCATGAGAATTCTTCTTGAGAATTGTACTCGCATTATTCCTATTGTTTTTCAGATATATTGGAAAAACTGAAAAAATATAATGTTAAAGCTCGATATAACAAGTACGGCATATTGGGAAAATCGTTAATGCTATAGCTTTCTAAATCAGCTTTAAAATGCTAATACTAAAGGTATAACGAGTTAAAAATTTTTTAATTTGTAACTTTCCGCTATTGCGACATTTTTTTAGGGAAATATATTTTTTCCACTGTTTAAGTGAGCAAAATTATACATTTTATTTATTTATTATGAGAGCAGAAAAGCAAAAAATGAACACAGTTTCCTTTTTATAATTTTAACCATTCATGTTAAAAGCAATGCGTGGGTGACCGCCGACTAAGTAATTTTCTTCCCAATAAAAGAAAATTTCTTTCAGAAATTCTGAACTACTTTTAATAAGACTGCCCTTTTATTTCTTCTTGAAACCTTACTATTAAAATCAACATTCACTGTTATCAAAAAATATTGCACTTTTCGCTATCAATGTTCAACTCCGTAGCCTTGCAATTTTGAAACCAATCCAGAAGACAAGGGAACTCCTAGATCAGGGATGGCGAACCTTTATACACCAACGTGCCATTTTTTCCAAAAAATTGTTTAATAAGGTCATAGACGTGCCGTCAAATAATTATGCCTTCGTGATTATTGGGAAAATAATAATACTAAATACTATCAACTCAAAACTCTTTAATTACATTGAAAAGTTATATATTTTGCAATGTCTCAGTTATACGCGTAATTCAACTTAAAGTAACATCAGTGTGACTTCTGTTGTTGCAGATTAGATGACAAATAACTTATATTAGGTTGTAAGATGTTAGTTTAAGCAGGGCTGTTTATTTTTTTTGTTATTTATTTATTGTTAACTTGTTTTTTATGGTTATTAATTGCTTTTTTAGCATTAATTGTTAATTTTTTTCATTAATAATTGTTTATTATTTTGCGTGTTTTTTGTGAATTTTAATTTAATTGTGACATATGCTTCATAGTGAAATAGCATTTGAGTAATAACAATTCATAGTGTAATAACAAATGGGATCGGTGGCGTGCCCAAAATATTGTGTCGGGTGCCATAAATGGCACGCGTGCCATTGGTTCGCCATCCCTGTCCTAGATCAAATAGCGACAGAAATTTTGAATTCGTAGAGGACTTTTTGATGGAATTAACACTCATTTGCGCTAAATGGAGAGAAAAACCACGGAAACCTTCCACGGTTAGTTTGACAGTAAGAGTACTTTAAACCATGATCCGTCAACCACTGAGGATATTTTACGTCGGCATTGTGGTCGGTGCGAGCCGGATGCAAGAATTCATATCGGCCAGTCATTGCTGGGATTCGAACCCGGTTCACCTCATTGAAAGGCGAAAGCTCTATCCACTGAGCCATCACGGCTCACCTTAGGTTATAGTTAAAATCACAGTTAACATTATTCAAAATTTACTTTCCAAGTTTCAAAGAATTCTACAATAAACTTTTTTTGTAGTTTGTTTTTGCGTTAAGAGATTTCCATATCAACATCTTTCTGAAAAAGCAAAGTAATAAACATTTTCTTTTGTCTTTCAGATTACAAAAAACAAGTATAACTTTGATTTTAAGGACTGGAGAAAAATGTTTTAAAGAAAGCAATTTTTTTGAAAGCTAATGTACAAGCAAAATTTTTTTAATGAGCAAAAAATTTTTTTATTAGAATATCTTTTTGTACAAAATATTTTTTTAATGTTCAAAATTTCAAAATCAGACAGTAAAATAATCGAAATTTCCTTCAAAATTCTAAATTCTTAATCAGTCGCATACCTTAAATAAACTATTTTCAGCTCTAATCTCTCATAAAAAAGTAAAAACGTATAATTCGAAATTAATATTTACCATATAGTTATAATATTAATACATTCCTGGAATTCCTTAGAAATTTTTGTAAATTATACACTATTTTTTATTGCAACTGAAAATATAACATAGGTGCTTTACGATGGATTTCGAGAAAAGTGGATTGACAACTATTTACTTCTATTGCTATGAACTCTAATATAAAATTTCAAAAAACTGAAAAAACAAAATTTGTTTTTTAAATTGTTTTTGCTGTGAATAATTTATCCTAGGCAAAGGCCAACTGTATAATTTTTAGTAGTTCACGTTCATTTTTCCATTGCACTGCAGTATAGGTATGTTGCACTGTATTGCTACTGTAATAACATAGAATTACATAGTTGTACTGCAGATATGTAATCAGATGCCATTGCTGTCAACCGTAAAATTTAACAGTTTTCCTTGAAACGATATTTCATATTTGTATTTTATAATTTATAATTTATATTTGTTTAGTTTTGCCTGAAAGAATCTGCGATGGAGAGTTTCTTTCAAAAATTAATCTATAATTTCCATCATCTTCTTGATTTCGAATATATGGACTATAATTGGAGCTATATGGATAGTTCACCACGAAAAAGCATTTGACAAGTATCCTTTAGTTCATCATTCAGTTTGGAGCTTGTGATATTATGTATAATTTTTCCTCCTTTTCCCTTCTTCACTCAGATACTTCCCAAAATCACAATTGGCCAAATAAATGGTAACCAGATAACAACACAAATACTTATTAACAAAGAAAAAAATTGAAGTTTGGAGAAAATTAATATAACGAATCAACCTAAACAATTCGCTTACCACTCTCCATCAGAGCGTTCCCTCCTCTGTCTTTTTACATCTACCTTGATGACAGCGCCATCCCAACATGGAGGCATGACAGAGCTGTTTAGCCTATTTCGGCTCAAATGACAGTATAATTTCTCTTTTTAATCCCCAATAGATTTTTATAGTATTTGATATTTTCAAAATTTTAACGCCAATCATTATTCAGTTGTTAATTATGAAACAAAAAAACGGAATTATATGATTGTCTTCTTCAGTTTTGAGAATTAGTTATTCAAAATTAAACTTTAATAACTTAATTTTTCCTTAATTATTTAAATTTGAACGTAATTAAAAATTATATCTTTAAAAAAAGTTTAATAATTTGTTAAAATATATACTAAAGAGAAGCAAAACAAATGATTTTAAATTGACACAGTAGAAAAACAACATCAGTTTTTGCACTTATAACAAAAGACTTATTTTCTGTAAACTCTTTAAAAATAGTATTGAATTCAGAATTCAATTTTTAGGAACAAAAAACACTAAAAATCAAACAATTTATTTTTGCTGCGTTACATAGCTTGAGAATTGAAAACATATCTGGAAAATAAGCAAAATGTTTTAAGATATAACCAGAGCATACTAATAAATTTATAATTTAATAAATTTTCTAAAATTGACTTTCTATTTCAATTTTAGTTTGCAATAAAACAATTAGCTTTAAAACGTGAATGAAAAGTAAGAAATAAAAACAATTTCTGCTTTCTGTTTTTATGAGCAGACTTTGCTTCAATCCAGTTCTTTGTATAACTAACTCGAATGAAAAAGACATTTTAAGAAGGCATTCATGAAGCTGGTCAAAAGGTCAAAGGTTGGTCATCTTCTTAAGCCTGGAATTAAAAAAAATATTGACTTCAATCTAACGAAAAATAAACTGTACCAGCATGCACAAAGAGAAAGAACACGGACCATTTTGGATAACTTTTGATCTAATAATCGGGTCATAATGTTCTAGGATTCAAACTAATTAATTAGTGCACACGATATTTTAAGTTATGAAATTAGACACAAAAACGTATTTTCTCTAAATATATATATCTTTTTTTCAACAGATGTGCATTTCTGACCCCTAAAAAGTAGCCACAATCTGGGAAATAGAGTCTGGTCAGTTTGGTCTGGAGAGCGATCCAAAGTTAGGACACCATAAGGTTAATTCTATTTTTTGCGTATTTTGCTATACCCCGAGAACTTTTTAAGGGAATTGTAAAATTCTTTAATTATACAATTCGTTTATCTAAAGATAATTTCTTGCAAAAAATAAATATCAGTAAATATTAATTATTTTTTATTATTTTATTTCATAACTGTCAAAAAGTTTTTCAATTGTTAGGTATAAAATGTTTTTACATCATTTTAAAGTATGTATTACATGAAGAAATATAAAATTTGAACGAAATCGGTAGTTATAGTTCCTAAGAAATAAAATTTTAAATTTACGACTTTTTTAAAATTTGATTACTCAGGAACTGTTTTACCGACTTTTCTCAAATTTTGAATTTTGACATGTAAATTTACCTATTTTAAAATGATGTAACGAAAAATTGTAAACCTTGCAATTAAAATTTTTTTCAATTATTTAATGAAGAAATGAAAAACAATAAATATTCAAAAAAAAATTATTTTTTGCATGGAAATACCTTTGGATAAGTGAATTTTATAACTGTGTGCAAAAATTTCTCAATTCGCTTAAAATGCTCTCAGGTCATGCCGAAATACACAAAAGTAAAATTAACATTATGCGGTCCAAAGTTTNGCAATTTAAATTTTTTTCAATTATTTAATGAAGAAATGAAAAACAATAAATATTCAAAAAAAAATTATTTTTTGCATGGAAATACCTTTGGATAAGTGAATTTTATAACTGTGTGCAAAAATTTCTCAATTCGCTTAAAATGCTCTCAGGTCATGCCGAAATACACAAAAGTAAAATTAACATTATGCGGTCCAAAGTTTGGATCGCTTTCCTAACCAAACTATGGGGACCGCATTTCGTAGATTGCGGCTACCCCCTAAATTTGGAGGGTCGTAGTCAATCTCTTGACATGTGCTTTCTACTATTCGAATCAGATGTAGAAAAACTCCAGAGAATTAATATTTCATTTCAAGTCATATTGGAATCATAAGTTCATACACATTTTAAAGGGTGTGGTTACATTAAAACAACAATAATTGAGAAACCTTTCACCAAGCTCAGATGCATTTACTCCATTCATGAATAATTTTCTCCAATTGTTGCGTATGTTTTGAAATAGTCAAATGAAAACACAATCGAATGTGACAAGGTAACAATTTTTTGTCACCTTGCACGAATCTAAACATTCAAAAAATAAATAAAATAAAAATAAATAAATAAAAATAAAAACAGGAGTAAACTGTTGTAATCCCTGTATATTTTCAGGTATATAAAAAAGATAAATATGTTCTTATACAAAGTATTAAATAGTTATAACATTTAATTTCACTTTGCTTCGGTATTGTTAAGCCTAGTTCGATGTAAATTTTAAGATTGCTGCTGTGTGCAAGATTGATTAACAAACTGATTTTATTTTATGATTTGCTGTTTGTATATCCTCCCCAAATGATTATTACTTGATATAGCATCGTAAAAATATCTTTAATGACTCTTATACGAAAAATTTCTTATTGCAATTATAAAGTTTATTTTTACTGAAAACTAAAAATGGTGGCATCGAATTTACGCCAAGTAGCGTGAAAGAATATTCTTGATGTTTCACTAATCCAAGAGTTATCCACTTCGTGGTGTAGTTAAACACTATTTTTGATGTTTTGATATACTAAAATTGCTTGTAGTGTTTGCTATCATACTATATATGCTTTCTTAAGTTGGTGAATAAGTTATGATATATCAAAATGAGATTTGGAATTTCCATGTACCATATGTTTATTCTTAAGTAATTACACATGTTTAAGACACAAATTACCCAGTTACTTCCGTACAGGTTAATGGGTGGCATAAAACTGATAGTGGTATAAAACTGATGGTGCTTAATCTCTCTATTAGCGTGTATTAAAATGTTAAGAACTTTTTTACAGAAAAGATAAAATGTTTCAGAACTTCTAATAAAAAGTATTTATATATTTATTTCGATATTTTATATTTTTAACTACTTAAAACAAATGAAACTATATCAAACTTAGTACATTTATTGATCTAAGTTAAAAGGTATTGCTTATAAAAATGTTTAGGCACTTTTAACTTACCTTATTGCAATTAGTAGTCGAATCAAACTTTTTGGAGAGCCTAAGAAATATTTCAGATGTCAATGTGCGATTCATTTTCATCCATTGTGGCCAGTTCACTGTAGACAAAACTTGTGTAGAGTTTTCTACGATGTACTCCAAAGAAAATACTTTCAGTTGTTCTTGATTTACCATGTCTGCTACCAGTAGTATATCCAGTATATTGTCAAAGCTAAAAACTGACTTTAGGAATGTCGAACACTTCTCAGTCAAAGGGGAAACCTGATATTTATCTGCAACGACCAGTAGGTTCAAAGCAGTTTCATCGTTCAAGTCATTCACTGTTCCAGTGTAGATATACTCCAAAAAATATTTCAGGATCTTTGCTTCAACATCACGTATATCAATAGTGTTAGTTTTGCTTTCTGGCATCTCTTGATCAAGCATAGCCTTGAATACTGGCGATCGACTAGCCAGTAAGCATTTGTGAGCAAAGATAACCTCATCACCAGCACGCAGTTTCACGTCGGCGTAGTGTTTTTCATCCAGCATGTTCCTGAGATGCTGCTGTAGATACAATATGCTGTCTGAATCATCCTTATTTTGAGATAAAGCAGCGTGCTTAGCAGTTGTGAAATTTTTTGTAAAGCTCTTTACCTCTGTGATTGAAGCTTTATCTGAATACTCGAATTTCACTTCCATATTAAGTCTTTTATGAATAAAGCAATTTACTTTTTCCAAGAGGGATTTATTAACAGAATGGGAAAACTCGAATTCTCTAGTTGTGCTACTAAATGTAAATTTGTGATATCCAAAAATCACGTCTGCTAATTTTCCATTTACTTTTAAATTCATTTTGCACCACATAGTGTGAAATTTATTATCAACAATTTTGGGAATTAGTTTAATCTTAAGCTCATGCTCAACATATTTAAATTGAACATCAATTGCTATATTTTCTATAGTTGCTCTTTCTACAGCTGTCCAGTCACTATCACCGGAAAACATTAAGGACCACTCAAAAGGGTAACTAGCTGCCACAATGTCTGTTTCAGCTTCCCAACCGACAACAGAAGGTGGACTTGAGATCATTGACGGAATTATGCAAGGTATTATCATACGGCATCGCAGGCTGACACCTTCACGCTTGTTGCCGTCATTCAATTAAATTAATTTGTATATTTTCGACAGATCACTAAATGTATCACTTAATATATCAGACGTTTTTACAATAACACCAGCAGAAGTTGTTAGCTCATATTGATAGTCTACTGAAATGCGTTCTCGAATTTTACTGCAGCTCTCTCGCTTAATTTGACAAAATAGCATTTTAGACACTTTTATTAATGTCAGATTCCATTCAGTTTCTTTTAAAAATTCAATTTTAAACGAGGGGCTGCTTATTACATCATTGGTTTCTGATTCCATAAGCCTACAAAAATGTTTAATATTCCAAACGTACATAAATCCGTGTTCTTCTGCTGAAGACATATTTTAACTCGTTACTAAATTTCAAAACAATCTAATGTACACTGAAGGGGGAAATAGCTCACTGACTTTTTCAATTTTAATCTGACGCATTATCACACAATGTCGAAAATGTAACCCTTATCAGTCTCTTTCACCAATAACGCAAAACAGATAAGATAAAAAAGCATTTTTTATCAGAATATTGTTCGTTTTTTATGTGAAATGAAATAAAAAATATTTTAAAAAAAGCATATGAAATATAAAATATCATCAATATCTCATATATAATAAAATGGACAAAGATATTTAAAAAAAACAGCAAACACTACAAAATATTTTTGGACAATAAAGAAGTTAAATATGGAAACTGATACTACAGGATGGCTACAAAATACTGTTACAAATATCGAATCTTTTCATTGTACAGATGTTAAATATATATGATAAATAAACAAATATAAAGCCCTCCCCGAAGGCAAATTTCTCCTCAATACTTGATCCAGGAGTTCCTTTGTTTTCTGGTTTGGGTTCAAAATTACAAGGCTACGGGATTGAAAATTAGTTAAACCCAAAATTGAATCGGCTGTTCAACGGCGGTTATAATATAAAATGAAATACACAAATGTGATGAACACTATAAATGGACGTTTAACTTTAAAAAATTTCATTCGAATCGGCCCCTATCTTCAATGATTACTAAAGATAATCGCTTACGCAGTTGTCCGATGGCGGCACGAATCATTTTAGGCGGTGATTCGTCCCATTCATGAGGGAATCAAACAACTCGGTGGGATTCCAAACTAGTCTGCTGCGTAGCATTAACTTCAGACTCTAGATTTCCCCAAACACAATAGTTTAAAGGATTTCGATTTGGTGAATAAGGGGGCTAATCTTCTTGCTTAATAAATTTCAGACAATTGATATGGATCTAAGCCTGCGTTGTTTTGGCCCAATGTGACGGTGTAGAATATTGCTGAAATATCCAATTCTTTTTAGAATGCAATCTGTCAGCATGTGGCAATAAATGTGTAGCCGATACTTCCTTTTTGTAATATTCAGTGCTTATATTTACCCCTTTATCGATGAATTTCAGAGGAAATTTTCCGTTATTTGACACTGCTGACCAAACCACTACTGAACTCTCTGAAAGCGTTGCACAGATCTTACACTTTCAGGTATGTCGGTCGTTGCTGAATATGCAGCATTATTTTTAGCATAATAACTTTGTTCTGTGTAAAATATTTTCTCATCTTAAAAGATTATTCTTAAGGAAAGATATTTGGCAAAGGCTTATAAGTCTAAATTGAGCACACAAGCCAGCAAATGTATATAATTCCAATAAACATTTCGTGATAGAAAATTTCTAATGTGAATTGAAAAAAATCCAATTTATTATGGTATCCACAAATTATTTTATCACCGTCTCAGATGGAAGTGCGAGAAACGGCTAAAAAATTGCAAACACAAAATAAGAAGAAATAAATAGAGATTTTTATAATTTACTTAATGAAAGATTCCAGATAATTTCTCTCTTTTTAAATCTGAAACAATAAAAAGGAATTATAATGAGATCTTCAAATTGGGATTATTCCTTTTGTACAGAAATGATTTCGTGTATTGCGCAAGGAATTTCATTGTCTGAAACAGCTAAAGATTTTTAAAAACTTCAAAAGCATTTTCCTTACCTTACTAGAGTTTATAAGGGAAAAAAACAATAATTTCTATTAATTTCTGGATTTGTTTTTTAAATTTCTATTCCTTAAGAATGGACCGAAATGGAATTTATCTAATATTTTTCAAAGTTTTACTTAAGAAAATTTTAGCGACCCGAATTTCTAACATAAAACTTTCGCGTATATTTTTGGTTAACATTTAATATGCAATTTTTTTTGCACGTATTAGTATGAAGTTCAATTATTACAATAATAGCCTTTGAGTAATTGAGTTAAAATTTATTTTTTTTTGCATTTATATTAAGAATGTTGTCGAAATATGTACCTAGTAGATATTGCTAACTGAAATATAAACGAAAAAAAAAATTTAAATTAAAATAACTAATGAAGATGATGGGAAGAAAACAAAATCGTTTTATTACTACAGAAACGTGGCTGACCCTTACTTTCAGGTTCACTCTGGTCTTGATGATTCAGATTCCACCTTCCTAAATAGTTAATCAGATTTCGATAACGTTTTACTTCTTTTTTTAAACTTAAGCTTTAACAAGGAGTGCAACACATATATATTTAAGACGGTGATTTCAAAACATTCTGAATATATTAGGTGAAAAATCATTCTGGTGTGCAGGTCTCATGCTAGATTTACCTAAGTTAAAAATTCAGGGTGTATCTGCAAAATGACTCGTTGCTCGTCGTTTGATCTCTTTTAATTTTGAAAGGATATAGCCAGTTGATAAAAAACTCACACAAAAGCTTAAGATAGAACACAGGGAAGAAAATTTAGAGTTTTAGTCGAATTAGAACTCGCATTTTGGTTAGATCTTTATTGGAGTAATTACGGGACAAACATAAGGCAGGAATATATACTTAAAAGTAAAGATATATAATTTCTTTTTCATCGTGTATTCATCTGTCTTCCTTCTGGCTCAAGTATCGTCGAGCTGAAAGTAAAAGACAAAAAAAAATCATATTTGTTTTATTTGAGAATGAATTATAAATACTTAGCAATTATACTTAATGGAATATATTCATAATATCATAAATTCTAATAATCAGAAATACTGAAGCATTTTGGAAGCATTACCTACTCTCCAAAGCAAACAACTTCAACAACCTTTAATTGACTTTTTCAATTTATATTTCCAGTGTGGCTTTTTTTGTGGATAACTTTATTTAAAATGTAACATTCATCCATGCATGCAACAATCCATTCAACAATTATATACGAATCAAGTTAGAAAATATTTTAATAAATTGATTGATAACTTGCAGAATAGTTCTCAGAAGAAAAATAATTAATTTTTTCAATATTTCGTTTAATTAATTTTTTCAATATTTAATTTTTAATGATTTTCTTTTCTAAAAAAATAGACGTTGATTTACTTATGCCTTTTTTGTAAGCCAAAATGTTTCATTTCCTCAAATAACACTTTTTATTCTTTTTTCTTAGTAAGGTGAAAAAACTGGATAGTAAAATTTGAAAATTTAACTATCCAGTTTTTTCACCTTACTCACTTTTATGCCAATAAAATTTAAAAATATTTAAAACATGAAATAATTGTTCTAAGAGCACATAATGTAAAGTATTTTAAATATTTCGTTAAAATTTTAACTAAGAATTTTTCATTTGCTTACTTTGTACTTGCAAATTTGAACAAATCCCTTAAAGATTCAAAGTAATTTTACCGATTGTCGGATTTGCTGTCATTAATTGAAGCACTTTCCACTATTATTATTAATAATAATAATTATGATAATATGCATGTAATATCATAATTATTCTCATTCATATCATTTTATGTAGTAATACAATCAAATTTTCTTCTATAACAGGAAGAAAATAGTTAAAGGAACTAAACAAAACGTAAAGTATCAGAAAAGACTTATATTTAATAAAGTGGAACATCAAATTTATTTTAATACATGAACATAATTAACGTAAGAAAATATTAATTCCTACAGCATTGAATTAACACATTTTTAAATTAACTCATTTTAAATCAATTTTAGAAAACTAAAGTATCGTATAAGGAATATAGTTAAGTATAATCAATCATGCAGCAATAACACCCTAAATACATATTAATATATGTTGCATATCAAACTTAATTTAGTTAATAAATTTCGAATATCCCATTCAAGTTACTTAACTCAGCAGAGTCACAATGTGAAGAAGCTATCTGACACACACTGAGTGGCCAAAATATTATGGCCCACTCCTTAGTACACTGTTCGACCACCTTAACCCCGTAATTATGCTCGAATTCTTCTTGGCATAGATTCTACGAGATGTTCGTAATTTGACCCCGTATCCGATGGACTGCACTTTACAGTTCAGTCAGATTGGATAGCACTGGAACCAGCTGTCTGATGATGCCCCGTTTGATCTCATCCTACAAATTCTCAATCGGATTGAGATCTGGTGATTGTGCCGGTCAACAAGACAAGGAAAAGTCACCATCATGTTATACAAACCATCTGATGACAATAGAAGGAGTATTGTCTTGCTGAAAGTATCCATCCCCGCAGGATACACCATTAACGTAGCAGGGTGAACTTGATTCGCGATCACACTCAAATACCTATGTGTATTCAGACGCTAGTGATGCTCCAAAATTCATATTTTTAAATTCATTTTCTTATACTCCAGTTATAATTTTTTTCTCCTAAATTAATGTTTTTATCAATAAAGGTATAAGCACAAATTATGTAGTAATTATTAATAACGTGTGAAATGTGATATTATTAATTATTTCAATATTTAAGATAATCCCTATATCCTTATAATTAAACCCATTTTAAGCTGGCAGAAATATTTTAAAAATTCTGCGATAAGGCTGCTGAATTTGTTTTCAAAAATAATAATGTGAACAGGTCGCAAATTATCCTTATGTAGAAAAAAACTTAATTTGAAAAAATGCATTTTCAGTTTATTCTATAATCATATTCTTTTAATTATTAAAAAAAATATTTTTAAAATGTTAGTCTATATCCATATTTAATATCTGAGCTATTGTTAAAGATGATTCAAGTGAAATGAAATTAGTTTGGAAGCTTAACATTTTTTTGAACTCAGTTTCAACAATTTGGTAGTAAAAAAGAAGGTTTTTTATAATCCATTGAATTGAATAGTCAGGGATTAGTTGCTAAAATGTTTCTTAGATGAAGTTTTACAGGAAAAAGCTACGAAGAAAACTGCATATGGTAAATTAAAATATTTTCAGAAAAATAAACACTAGGCTGACGTTTCGTGGTTATGCGGATAATTCCATCTTTTCGCAATTTATAAACATTCTAATTATAATATATCCTTCAATTATTTTATTGTAACGTAACTTTTAATATATAAAATGGCATTGTGAGGTAGAGTAAGATGTAAATTTTTTTAAAAGATATTTACTAACCAAAACTTCCAAAATTCATAGAACACAATCTTAAAGCATTCTAAATTCAAATTTCTCTCACTCTGACGCACAAGTATTGCGTCTGAGTGATGCAATAGATTGCAATTGTTGCAAAATATTTTTAAACGTCTCACCATAACTCTTGACTTTGCTTTCGAACTTCCAGCAAC